ATCCTTTTTTCCATCACCCACTACCTCCTCTGTGCACCCCCTCAGGTCTCCTCAATCTTCATATCAAATGACAAGTCGGAGGAGGTCATGGACTTCTTTTCATCTAAAATTCACAACATCCGCCAGGCAGCCTCATCCACCTGCCTCTTGTCACCCACCACCATGCCCTCTCTGTCTCCCTCACCCTCTCCATCTGCACAAAACTCCTACCACCACCCCCATCCTACATGCCTTCCTCCCCATTTCTCCCTCCTCCCTCTCATCCATCATCACCTCCATAAAACCCACCACCTGCTGCCTCGACCCCCTCCCCACCAACTTGCTGGTCACCCAGCTCCTCCTCCTCTGCTCACTACTGACTGACATCATCAACCAGTCCCTCTCCTCCGGATCAGTCCCTGCCTCCCTCAAAACTGCTGTCATCACCCCACTCCTCAAAAAACCTTCCCTAGATCCCTCAAACCCCAGCCACTACCACGCTATTTCTAACCTGCCCTTCCTCGCAAAAGTCCTAGAATGCGTTGTTGCCAATCAACTTCGCGCACACCTCTCTTTCCACTCCCTCTTCAAACCCCTCCAGTCCGGTTTACGCCCTGCCCAGAGTACAGAGACTGCACTTGTGAAAGTCACAAACGACATCCTCTCTATCTGTGACCAGGGCTCCCTCTGCCTCTTTGTCCTCCTGGACCTCTCCACCGCATTCGACACAGTTGATCACTCCATCCTCCACCGCCTTTCCTCCGTCATCCAACTCAGTGGGACCGCACTCGCCTGGTTCGAGTCCTACCTCACAAACTGCCAGCAGTACATCTGCACAAATGGCTTCTCCTCCCGCTCTCACCCGGTTACCTGCGGGGTACCCCAAGGATCCATCCTTGGCCCCCTCCTCTTTCTGATCTACATGCTCCCTCTTGGGGATGTCATCCGCAGACATGGGGTACATTTCCACATGTATGCGGATGACACCCAACTCCATTTTTCCACCTCTCATTGCGACCCCCAGTCCCCTGATGTTCTGTTAGCCTGCCTGTCAGACCTCAAGGGCTGGATGAGCGCAAATTTCCTTCAGCTGAACGTTGACAAGACGGAAGCCATATTCTTTGGCTCTCGTCAATGTCTAAAATCTCACAGTTCTCACCTCCTTCACCTACCCGATCTCCCCCTAAACTCTCCAAACCCGTACACAAGCTAGGTGTCAGGTTCAACCGCCAATTATCCTTCCTACCACACATCCGTTCTCTCACCAGCACCGCTTTCTTCCACCTCCGACGCATCGCCCTGGAGTCCTGTAGCTCAGTGGTTAGAGCACTCGCTTTGCAAGCGAGAGACCTGAGTTCAATTCCAGATAGGGTGAAACCTTGGGCAAGTTTCCTTACTCCACACGCCTAATAATAATCCCTCCAAAACCAAAAACAATAATAAATTGGTCATTGTCAATCTACGACTGTTTGTGGGACATTGCTGTGCGCAATTGGCTGCCGCGTTCGCCCACAAATATACAGTCAATTCACTTTACAATGTGTTCTGTGAAGCGCTTTGGGACGTCCTCCTGACGTGAAAAGCGCTATATCAAATGTAAGGATCAGGATCATCATTGCCCGTTTCTGCCAATACCTCGCTCAGAAAGCCGCTGAAACCCTGGTCCATGCCTTTGTCACCTCTCGTCTGGATTACTCAAATGCCCTCCTCGCCGGTCTCCCCTCCACTACCATCCATAAAATCCAGATTATTCAAAACTCTGTCGCCCTTGTTCTCATCTGCACGAAACTCCGCTCCCCGATTACCCTAGTCCTTGCCAGACTGCATTGACTGCCTGTCCCAGAGAGGATCAACTTCAAGATCCTCACCCTTGTCTTCAAATCCCTCCACTCCTCTGCGCCCCCCTACCTCTCTGACCTCCTCTGTCCTCAAAACAGTACCTGTTGCCTTCGTTCCTCTGGGTCTGGCCTCCTCCTTGTCCCCCAAGTCCTCCATTCTATCCTTGGCGGCCATGCCTCAGCCACTATGCCCCGAGGCTCTGGAACTCCCTTCCTCACTCCCTTTTGTCTCGCCCTCTCTCTTCCTACTTTCAAGTCTCTGCTGAAGACCTTTATTTTCGACTGTGCCTTTGGTCACCTTCCTCCCCCTCCCCCTGGCTCGGCCCCGGGATCTGTTACTGTGAAGCGCTCTGAGACTCCGTCCAGCGTGGAGGGCGCTATATAAATCCCAGTTGTTGTTGTTGAATTTCAATGTATCTCTTGCCCATTCAATCGTCATTGATATGGTTTTGACGATGTATTTTGCTAATCAATATGTATTTAACCATGAGATGCAACAATGTTGAATTGGATCCCATTATTGCACCATGGTTTAATTTATAAAATAGCACCCTGCATTATAACTGTGTATGCTAACCAAATGGCCAACCATCAGTGCTTCTGGATTGCAGGTTTGCCAGTGACTATGTTTCCTGTGCACTATGCTCCCACTCTTTGAACAGATCCATATTATAATTGGATTTGACTGTTGGGTGATAAAATTAGCCTGGCTGTGACTCCATTTCACACACAGAAACAAGTCCCTCTGCTTGTTGTCACAAGTGTTGGTAGCTGACTGAAGTACACATGCTCCTCTAATCATCCACAGAGACTTGCAGAAACCAAACTGGCAGTTTGCCTGGCATGCCACACTTTCCCAGCAGCACTACACTCCCAACTGGAGTTACTTATATATAGTTTTTTTTTCAGTGTTGAGAAATCAGTCATTATGGATCCCTGCAGTTTGAACACATTGAAGATCATCTAAATCGTCTGTGCATTTTTGGCAGAAATTACAGTTTTCTGTTTTATAATAATAATAATAATAATCCTTGCATTTGATATAGCGCTTTTCACGTCGGGAGGACGTCCCAAAGCGCTTCACAGAACACACTGTAAAGTGAATTGACTGTATATTTGTGGGCGAACGCGGCAGCCAATTGCGCACAGCAATGTCCCACAAACAGTCGTAGATCGAAAATGACCAATTTATTATTGTTTATTATTGTTTTCTCATAAGGTGGTCACCTAAGGTAGTTTCTGGATGTCTGCTTTTTATTTAAGCGTTCAGAGACACTACCCCTTGAAAAGCATTATATGAATGCAAGTTGTTTTTTCTGCATGCAAACCAGTTTCTTAAACACCCTTCACTTCACTCCATCTCTTTGCTAGCAAGATTAAGTGACACAGGGACTCGTAAGATTTCAAGAAGATTACAAATGAAGATAATTTGGCTTATTTTATCTCATCCTTTTAGAATATCCATCCTCCCATTATTTTTCCATTACAGAAAAATTCTCATTCTCAAAAACTCCACTGCCTTGACTTCAATTACCCTTCCTGGTAATCTGTTTCAGCTGTTGAAAACTTTTAGTGTGAAGAAATACTTTCTGGTGTCTGTGCCAACATTGTCCTTCATACACCTTGAAGATGTGCCCCTTGCCCTGTTGCCTTGGCGTATCTTGAATAATTATCTGGGTTTACATTTTCGTTAACGCCTATACAGTGCCTCCATTAGTTGATCTCTGAGATGTTCTTTTAAGGGTGAAGAGTTGTACCTAGCAATTCTTAGAGGGTACTTGATTCATATGAACTGTTTGGTTTGTCCTGTTCAAGCTGTCGATGAATGACTGTGAAAAGTATTGTTTGCTCGCAAAACCAGACAATGTACCTAAAACTAATGTGACAAAATAACATTAATAAGCTCTATATCAGTAACAAAATAAATATTCCTGGGGCACAACATGGTCACAATCAACCTAATCTCGTCATTAGACCAATTTTGGACTACAGGAAAAGTAAGAAGTGTTGGCTAAAGATGATGAGAATTCTAAAAATAGCACCAGTTTCAAAACTACCTTCCCCATTACAGAATGTATAATTTATACCAATCTTTTGTAACTTCAGTGTAGATGGGCAAAAGAAAACTGTTTCCTGAAGATAATTTTTTAAAAAAAATTTCAGCTTTGTGGCTTCCTGAGGACATCTGTTAAAGTATCTAAGTTTAAATCCTGTATTAAGGCAATTCGGTGTGCAGTGTATCAGAGTATAAGGAGGGAAGAATGAATCATTTGGTATCAGCTTATGATGGAAAAATTCAATTTATAAAGTCCTGCTGATCATTTCTACTACGCTTAGTAAATGGAGCACAGGAACAACCATAGAAATTGAATGCTGGTATAACTGAGATTCTGGATGAGCGATTACACAAATTCATTCCCCCCCAACCCCCACCTCCATTGTTTTTGATTTGCTGTTTGTGAATTAAACCGTGGCATTGGTGTTTTACATGTCTGGGACAAAGGCATGTGTTTGGCCCACAAATACAGTCAATTCATTTTACAGTATATCCTGTAAAGGCGCTTTGAGACATCTCAATGACATGATAAGCTGCTAGAGCATATGCAAGGATTAAAGGCAAATTTATCTCCATTGTGACCAAAATAATATCGATCTTAATCATACACACTTACTTTGTGTACCATCAATTGTCATCATGACCATTCTTATTGAACATTGAGTGTGTTAAACAAAAATGGTGAAAGGGTTATATGGAAACATGTTGGAGGACTGGGAGTGATCTAGACCATATTTAATTGAGTTTCTATGAGTGAAATTTCTGTTGTTTAGGTTTGAGAGCTGCTGTCATTCTCATTTGTATGAGAGAATATAAAGGCATCACTGACCTTGCTTCACACTTGTTGAAGAAATGTTGCCTTTCTTTTGATAATTACATAAGAAAACATTATTAAATCTATTGCTTTTTTATAGCTGTTGTTATTCACCAGCGGAAAAGGGAACTAAAGTACAAGTACAGAAGCTGTGATTAAGATACAGTGAGTGCATTATTTTCACTAGATGTACAATACTTGTGTAGGAGCAGACGACCTTGCTTTTTATCATTTGCAGGAACCTACTTTTTTTTATCACTGAAGTTCGAGGTTTTGTGGAAATTGCATAATTTCCTGTGGCCCAACTGGCAGTAGCTCTCAAGGCAAAGTATTCAAGTTCTTTTTCAATGGTAGGACGGTACACTGTGCTGGAAATACTGCAGTTCTTTCGTTAAAAATGTGGAGACTTTTAATGTTTCCCAGCAGAAAACAAAGGAAAGCGGTGAGTTACTGAACTGAATACTTGTCTTTCATGTAGACGTTTGTACTTTAACGTTTATAAAAGAGCATCCTATGGGTGTAATGGGTGGGGTGCGCTACAGTATGGGCAATCGTTGTTAATCTAAGGAAGGCTGATATGTTGCCCTGTGTTTGCTTTCATTCAAAACCACAATAGGGAAACGAGCTGCCATGGAAAGAGAACCTCCATAATGATGAGTTTGAAAAGGTAAGATGAACTTTCAGCCTTTTCATTATCTATCTGGAAAAACTGCCACCGATGATCTGTTTCACTGTTGTCACAGTTGTGTTCACTGAGCCCTCAGTTGTTTGTGTGATGCATTTCTCAGTTTAAATACTCTCCTTGTTGTGTAGGATTGTGTGAACACAGTTTTTGCTTTATCTTTGGACATTCTTTATGTGAATTGCATTGTTTATGAGGAAACTTATTGGCTCAGGGATTTGATACATTGAAAATGTCCATGTCTGGAATGGAATGCAAACTCTCTTCCTGAGAGGATGGACCCTACTTGCTTCATTCTGTACAATATTTGGAGCAAATTAACGAGAGCTAAGACTTGGGGACCTCAGATTCTTTGGTAGGGTACTGCTAGCCTTCTACCAATGAAAACTAGATAGCTTGTCAATGAGAGTACTATCTGGCAAATCTCCTGCTGCTTTTCGAGGTACTCTATACATTACGGCCTTGACTTGCAAGATTAACATAAACTGGGTGGAAAGAATTCCTGCCCCAATGACCAGTCTGCCCTCCAAGTCCAGCCAATGAGTGCCTCTTCCTCCCCCCTCAACAACCCCCCCCCCCCACCCCACCCACTCCAAGAATAGTTGGTTAAGTATCATAACATTGTGAAATTACAAAATATATTCCAGGGTCTGAACTATCCACCAACTCGAGGCTTGCATAGCTGAATGAAATAGTGATTGGAGCCTTATGCTTTTATATTTTACTTTAGTCCTGGAGCTGAGTTCCTCCTTTGAAAATCAAGTGCACCACGAAATAGCAGTGGGATTTTCTGGTGTTCCTGTGTGCTGGGTTTTGTTTCACTTCACCTTGTTTTGTTTCACTTCACTGAAATCCCAAAGCAGTTTTGACCTTTACATTTTAGTGAACTGAAAAGGAGAAATGAAAAGAGGTCATTTGTTCACTGTCTCCGTGTCTGAAAGGGGAATATCAACTTTTACACCTTGGTCATTCGCACCTTCATTACCTCCTGATTTGACGTCTCAAATGATATTTTATTTGCGTATCAGAATGCCTTTGTTCCATTTGATTTGAATACCGTTTATCAATACAAATTTACACTTTTAAAGTGTCTTTCACTTCAGTAGTATGTCTCCCCAAGGCTGTCCTTTTTGGCCCTCAAGCTGGTGGTGGGAGACGAGTGCGGAAGGGAAGGATCACCAAAATCATGGTAAGAGAAGAAGGGCTTGAGTGAGGGAGTGGGTGAGTCAGAAGTACTCTAGGATAGAGTTCCAGAGAATGGGAGAAGCGAGGCTAAAAGCCCAACTGCCGAGGATAGGGTGGAGGACGTGAAGCAGGCCGATGCCCACTCAGCAAACGTAGCAGCCAGGATGGTACGGTTTGAGGAGTTTGCAGAGGTAGGGTGGGGCAAGACCGTGGAGGGATTTGAAGGTTAGGATGAGGATCTTGAACTCTATTTGCTGGTAAATGGGGAGCTAATGGAGCAGTATAAAACATTGGTTAGGCCTCAGCTAGAGGTTAGTGTTTAGTTCTTTGTTTAGTTCTGGGCACCACACTTTAGGAAAAATGTCAAGGCATTGGAGAGGGTGCAAAGGAGATTTACCAGGATAGTACTAGGAATGCGGGACTTCAGTTATCCCTTCTTCTCTTCAGTTATCAGGAGAGGCTAGAGAAGCTAGGATTATTCTTCTTGCAGCAGTGAAGGTTAAGAGGAGACTTAATAGAAGTTTTCAAAATTATGAGGGAATTTGATAGGGTGAACAAGGAGAAACTATTCTCACTGGTGGGTGGGTAGGTAACCTAAGGACACAGATTTAAAATAGTTGTTAAAAGAAACAGAGGGGAGGTGAGGAATTTGTTTTTCATACAGCGAGTTGTTTGGATCTGGAATGCATTGCCTGAAAAGGTGGTGGAAGCCGATTTGATAACAAATTTTAAGAGAGAAGTAGATAATTATTTGGGTAGGACAAGTTTGCAGGGCTATGGGGAGAGAGCGGAGGAATGGGATTGAATTGGATAGCTCTTTTCAAAGAGCCGGCACAGACACGATGAGCCGAATGGCCTCCTTCCGTGCTCTATGATTCTATGATTGTGAAATGACCACAGCTGCATGTGTTCTGCAATATTTTGGGACCATGTCCTGTTTTGGTTCAGCTCACTCTATGTGTGACATTGGTATTTCGCAAATACTTTGAAATACTGGAATCCTTCAGTACAGTGTGTTTTGTGAGCATGAAAGGAGGGAGAGGGGGAAGGGCTGTCACCAGCGAGACCCACACTCTTGATGTTTCCAGTCAATTGATTATAAAACTTTTTTTAAAAGAAAGATTCACTTGATTGGCAAGGACCTAAATAAGAGTAATACATTTTGTGCCTCACAGGTGTGAAGAATTCAATATGACCACATCCATTGCATTTAGTTATTGAAATTTTGAATGTGGAGTCTCTTCACATTTTGTGTCAGCCATGAGAGTGCAACTCAATGAAATGGTAAATATTCCTATTTTGCACTCTCAACTATCCACCCTAAGCACTACTTTACAAATATCTTAACAGTAGATAAGCATCAATTCCATCCTCCACACCAACTGCCTGCCCAACTGTCCATCCTGGGAATGGAAATTTAAGAGTTGTGTTGTTTGTGGACAATGGGGTCCAAGATGTAAGATTTGCTTCCTGGTTTCAGTAAGGGTTTGTATATATTAAATCCTGACAGATAACTCTGACAACGTGGGAGCTCTGGAAATTTGGAGCCGAGTTCTTGCTTGCATTTAGTGCACTTGGAGCTACTGGCAGAATTCCAATGTTTACAAACCTTGTGGATTCCAGGTTGTCACTTTTTTCTTAGACCCCAATGAGCATCTTTTAAGAATGCATGAAACTGACACCCCACAGATTTGACATTAGATATTTCTAATTCTGAGCCCCAGAACTGTTATCATCAAAACAGGTTGTTGCTTCAACATAGAAATGTTTATAAAGAGTACAGCCTCTTAAAAAGCTTTTTGACTGTGTGTTAACTGAAATTTATACTGTAACTCAGGGATGTGTAGGCTTGCAAAACCTTTCATATGTGCCTCTGCTCACAAAACACGCAATCGCTCAACATTGCAGTATAGCCTGTGGAGCATCCTCTTGATGTGAAAGCACTATACCAAATGTAAGGATAATGATTGTAATTATTGTACATGTCCAAGTTTGCTTTCTTTTTTGTTGAACAATGTTTTTTCTATGCTCACTTTTTATTTCTTATCAGATTTTGTTCCCTATTGTGGAACTCATTGTTGCAGGCCAACTTCGGTCACACCTCTCCCTCCACTCCCTCCTCGAGCCCCTGCAGTCTGGTTTTTGCCTTGTCCACAGCACAGAGACAGCACTCGTCAAAGTCACAAATGACATTCTCTCTATCTGTGAGCAGGGCTCCCTCTGCCTCCTCATCCCCCTGGATCTCTCTGCCGCGTTCGACACAGTCGACCGCGCCATCCTCCTCCATTGGCTCTCCTTCCTCATCTACCTTAGTGGGACTGCACTCATATGGTTCAAGTCCTACTTAACTAACTCCTCCATTTCATCTTAGCCAATGGTTTTTCCTCCCGCCCCTGCCCAGTCACTTGCAGGGTATCTCAGGGCTCTATCCTTGGCTCTCCTGTTTTCATTATCTATTTGCTCCTTCTGGGCAATGTCATCTGCAGACACGAGGTAAACTTCCACATGTATGCGGATGACACATAAATCTACTTTGCCTCCTCCAGTACCAACTCCAAGTCGCCGATGTTATATCACCTTGTCTGGCAGATATCAAGGCCTGGACAAGTGTAAACTTCCTGCAGCTGAATATGGACAAGACAGAAGCCATACTCCTTGGCTCCCGTCAATGTCTTCACTCCTGCGGATCTAAACTCCTCAAGCTCCCTGGGGTCTCCCTCGTACTCACCGAACCAGTGCGCAAACTAGGGGTCCGGTTTGACCCCCAGCTGTCCTTCCTCCCTCACATCCGGTCCCTGACCAGGACCGTTTTCTTCCACCTCCGCCACATTGCCTGTCTCCAACCGTACCTTACCCCAAATGCTGCCAAACCCTTGTGCATTTGTTTGTCACCTCCCGCCTGGATTACTCAAACACACTCCTCGCCGATCTCCCCAGCTCCACCATTCACAAGATCCAGCTCATTCAAAACTCTGCTGCCCACATACTGACCCAGATCAAACTCCATACCCACATCTCACCAGTTCTGCCAGGCTCCACTGGCTCCCCATCACCAGACAGATTGACTTCAAGGTCCTCACTTTCATGTCCAAATCCATTCACTCTCTGGCACCTCCTTACCTCACTGACCTCCTCATTCCCCAACCAACCAACCGGAGCCTCCGCTCCGCTGCCACCAGTCTCCTGCTCATCCTTCGCACTCTCCGCCCCATCATCGGAGGTCATGCTTTCAGCCGCTATGCCCCAAAACTCTGGAACACACTCCCTCAATCCCTCTGATTTGTCTCCTCTCTCCTTTCTTTCAAGTCCCACCTAAAAACCTTCCTCTTCAACCATGCTTACGGCTACCTCCCCCCTCTCCCCTGCCCGTCCCCCCGACTTGGAGTCAGGCTCCGCCACTATTAAGGGCTCTGAGGCGCTACCCTGTGTGGAAGGTGCATATATAAGTGCAAGTTGTTGTTGTTCTAATGTGTTGTTCTCTGGAAAGTTTTATAAAGTTACTAGGTATGTCTTCAGAAGTTCAATTTCTCCAGGACGACATTAGTCTTCCAGACAGGTTTGTCTTGATACACTCTCTCATCAACAATTCCCCATCCGCCTCACAAACACCATCATGGTTTTCCCTTTTAACACTGTTACACCTTTACATCTGCAATGGTAACAAAGGGCACATTTTGGAAATCTGTGGTTTAATTATGAAGCATCTTTTCAATGAGAAGTAGGAACCATTATCCATCACATTTCCATAATCTAAGAAATCAAGCAACACTTTTGTTAATACTCACGCACTACTGCATTTC